TAAAGTAGAGGGCATTAACTCTGGTTTAAAGAGAAAAGTAAATCTTAAAAAAAATTTAAGTACCTTGCTTGCCTGAAATGAAATATGTAGGCAGCTGTGTGTTTGAATGCCACAGCATGTCAGCTGACAGTGAAAACGGATGCTACCATCTTGCCTCATAACATGGCCCTGCTCCTGTGAAATTTACTCCTTGCAGGTAATTCTCATTTTATCTGCTCCTGCAGAAGCAGGTTCATTGCATCATTTCTCTTGCAATGAGCTGGGGTGATGAAGAAAGAACATCACAGGTTCTGAAGCTTGCATTCTATGAACAAAAGAAAATGCCTTCTCTACCTCGCTATCCTTGCCTATGAGATTCAGATGGCACATTTGTTATAACTTATATGAATATTCAAAGGGATAACACATGGAACTAGTTCTCATTTTGCCAGGTACATAGGAAATGGCTCATAAATGTTAACTCAGTGCTGAAATTCTTCTCTCCCAATTATATATATTTGTATCTCAAATGCTAACATATTTTGTTAAATTTCTAGGCAACAATAATGGTAATATAGAATAAAAGGAAAGTCATGCTTGTTTATACAAATGGATTTTATATAGATTAATATAAATTAGCATTAATGTCCATTACAGAAGGAAAGAAAGTCTCAAAGGAGCAAAGTACAGAAGGCAGTAATCCAAAAGATTTTTTTTTTTTGTAAAATAACAAAGAGGTGGTAGTAACCCTTTCTTAAAAATCTCAATAGCGTCCAAGCCCCACTTGCTTCTTCCTGATAGCCGAGGTCCTCTTCAGTTAGGGCTGAATTGTCCCACATTTCCATATGTTGAGGAGGAAGCTCATTTTGCCTGGAAAAGATCAATACCATGTTGAAATAGCAGTGGTATTGTTTGGTATACAAACATATCTGAAAATGTAATAAGAAACAAAATTTGTCACAATTAACGCAAAGCCATGATTGAACACCAAACAAATAGTTCCTCACTACTAGTCTTTCAAGAAGATGCATTCAAAAGAGTTTCCCAAAGTTTAGGAGAGAGGGTGATGGTGTTTGCTGCAGGAAATAGTCCTGAGTATTTCTTTGATATCATCTATTGGTCTCAGTTGTTTATAAATACATGCATTTGTGTATTTTATTGCCTAAATGAAAAGAGTCCTATAAATTATTTCTTTTCTCTTGGGTCTCCTTTACCATCAACTGAAAGACACCATAATAACCACTATCTGTGTGATGCTCAAATAAAGATATTAATTTTGGTTCCATATGGCACATTTTGAAACTAAATTGTGCTCTTTGGCTGTGGGCATTAGGAGACAGCTCTCACAACTCTCAAACAGAACACAAATGTTTTAACTCTGTACTTGGTTGAGCTGTTATCCCCACCCTTCCCAGATGTTAAATAAGCAACTTCTGATTCATTGTTCAGTATCACCAGGAAATAAATGTTGTTTCAAAGGAATAATACCAGTGGAAGGTTAGGGTTGAAGACTGCAGAAAGCCTGGCAAGTGTTTCAAGAGACGAACTAACTGCTTCTCTGTCTAGTTGGTTTCTTCATCTTTGTTGAAGTATCCTTTTAGAAACCTGACCATGTCTATGTAAAAGGAGAAACAGATAAGTGTGATGCCTGTGTGAAAGTGTCCACAGTAAAATATGGGGGGAGATCTGGTCCAAAGCACAGCATGATTTTGTACTTTTCTTGAGGAATTTTCCAATGGCAGATGCCACCAAAAATCATCACAGCAGGCCTTGCCACAACAGACCCTGCCTAATTCCTTAAAACATAGTAATTGCTTAGAACAGATCTCACAATGATTTTTCACATATATAGATACATCACAGATATAGAAATAAAAATATGGAGATATAAACATATTTATTTTCCTACAAATACAAAGTGGCTTTTTGTTGTTGTTGTTGTTGTTGTTGTTGTTGTTGTTGTTGTTGTTGTTACCAGGGATGGAATTCGGGACCTTGTGCTTGCAAGGCAGGCAGTGGTGCCACAGTATTTACTACTGTGATCCTAAGTATCTTCCAGCTCAAATTGTTGCATTGTTCTTTCAGTTAAGAAATTACTATAGCACTTTAGAAGCTTAAATATTGCATGATTTCTCTTACATGGGAAACCCAATAGAACAAAAAGAAATTAGTACTTTAAACCATATTTTTAATGTGTTCACTTGAAACTATTATAATGTGAAAATAGCTAAAAATGATTTTTCTATGTCCTCTTGAAATCTCTCACCAAAGGAAGTTTTAAGAAGAGTTTAAAATTAGAACCAACGAAATTTTCAAATAAAAGTGCTTAAACTACTGTCACATTGACTTTGTCATCGTGCCAATCAAAAAGACCAATTTATACATACCTTAACAAAATTAAAGGTTATTGGACAAATCAGGGAGATTTTATACTCTGTGTCGGATTGTTCATGACAAGAGTAGTTGTATTATTTTGCTAAAGGTGCCAAAACAAAACACCACAGACTGGGTGGCTTAATCAATAGCAATTTATTATTTCACAATTCTAGAGATTAAAAATTCAAAATCAGTATTGCAGTAAGATTGTTTTCTCTTTGGTGTGCAGGTATCAGTGTTCTGGTTGTGTGTTTTCATGGACTTTTCTATGCACACATTATTCCTGATGTCTCTTCCTCTTCCGATAAAGACACCATCTTGTTGAATGAGGGTACAAACATTGTAACCTCTTTTAAATTTAATTAACTTTTTCAGGCCCTATCTCCAGATGTAGTCACATTGAGATTAGGGCTCCAACACAGGATCTGGTGGGGGACACAATCCAGTCCTTAGCAGCTTTTAAAACATAGGCGTGAATGACAAGCGGGCTCCCTAATGTTGAGCAAAACACTTAGACGTTTAAGATGTAGTGAATAAGAACTGTAAATGTTCTACAGAAATCCATAATCAAGGCTTAAACACAAATTTTCCCTTTTTTGCTATGTAATATAAAAGTGAAATAAAAAGAAAATAAAGAAACAAATGAAGAAACAGAATGTTGTTAAAGGCATGCCAGGACTTGACAACAATGAAGAGAAGAACTAGAGAAACATAAGATATAAAATAACATGGGGTGATTCCGACAGAAGTGGTCTAGAGGGAATTATTCTCTAGGTTTCCAATTATTTGCTTCCAGAAAATAAAATATGTTTATTGTGTTTCCATGATGCTTAATAGTGACTGAGCATTTGAGGAGGAAAAAATGTTTCTCAGAATTAAAAAAAAAAAATCACTGCATCAATTTAACAAAAAAAATTTGTATGGCAAACAAATTACCATAGATTTTAAAAGAATAAAGATTAGATAGCAAACAGAGCCGTGAGTAATATGAGATTCATTTCATGAATTAACTGATGTTATTAATGGGCACTGTTGACCCAAATTAAAGATGTAGGTGTTTAATTATGTTTATGCCTCACAGGAAATTGACCTCAAAAGGGAAAGATCTTTTCTCCCAACAACACCTTTAAAAATGATCTTTGCCTCTATTCTCATACAGTAGTGAGTGACAAATTGGAGTCTATGTGAGGATGTTGGGTGTTCCTAACATGGGTAACCACATGTACAGATAGATATTCTCCAGCACTTAGGGCCAGAGACAAGCCGGAAATGCTCTGTTAACAAGCATCCCAAAGATTCTGAAACCTCTACTCTACTCCAATCCAGATATTTGTCTTCTCCACGCCTCACACACACATATAATGGGAGGTGGATGTGGATAGTACACCAATTTTTGTAAATAAGGAAATTTTGAAATATACCAATGTATGACACTTTTGTTCTGAAAATGTCTTGTCACTAAGAAAAAATAAAATATGCTCAAAGTCGTGGTACCATCTATAAGAGAATGTACAATCCTCTTAGTTTTATGTGAATATGAAAGATCTGTTGCAGCATATCAAGTACATTCCTGACCTCAGTCTTCTGTGAAGAGTAAAAGGGGCAGAACCCAAGGCCAGGCGCAGAGGGTGTGAGTAAGTGTGGGAGGGAGGCACTACACAGTAGGTAGATAGATCGAGTCAATCTTTATAACCCCCTCTTTGCCAAGAGTCAGACGTAAAGGAAGAGTGAAATTTTATTCATGAGCGGATTCACATTTCTGTCAAAAAGTCAATATTTGCTCATATTGTGTCAGAAAAATATGTATAAAGATCAAATAAAACCATTTGTGTGTTTATTAAAACCTGGTGTGAATTAAAATATATTTTCTTTAAGATACAATATATACTATTGTTTTCTTCTAATTAATCATGTACCTAAGCATGTAATGTGACATGGTATGGATCTCTTCGACTAACCTTAAAATGTACATGTCAAGTAAGAGACTGAACCACTCTTTTAGAGTTTCTCAGGAAAAACAAACAAACTCATTTAAAATGTACAAGGCCCTAGCACAGAGGCAAAGAAAGAATGTATTTGAGAAAAACAACCATCGCAAAGGTTGGATGAGGTGTCCAAAAGAGACTGAAATGCTTAAAAAAAGAATAATGGGTGTTTTATTCTGGGATATCTGATTCTGAAGAGACTTGCACCTTCATTTTTTTAGTTATTTTTTCCATTCTATGCATTGTGAAAGCTAAGAGCAATGCGGAAAACCTTGTCCACAGGAATGCAAATAAATTTATAGAAATACAATCTGGAGAAATACACTTATTTTGGATTACACCAGCATGCCCCATTGGCTAAGTGCCACTGCCATTTTCCTTGGAATCAGTTGCACCATCTTGTTCCCTGTTTAGTTAATAGGTTAGATTAACGTGTTTTTGTTTGTTTGTTTGTTTTAGTATGATTGTATCTTAAAAGTTGCACGCATTCTATCTTCACTTAAAAGTGAAAATTTTGGGAGCTGGGGATTTAACTCAGCGGTTCAGTAGCCTGCTTTGCAAGCACAAGGACCCGAGTTCAATCTCCAGTACCAAAAAAAAAGAGAAAATTTTAGTATAATATTTTAAATAATCCTAAATGTGTTTTCTTTTTCTCTTTAGCTTCAGACAAGCTTGACTGAACCAATGACGTTATCCAAATCCATCTCTCTTCCTCGCAGTGCGTACTGGCATCACATTACCCGTCAGAACAGCGTTGGTGAGATCTACAGTTTGCAAGGCAAGTGACTTTATAATAGCAGAGCAACACCAACTGCCATTAGCTCCCTTCACATGAACCAGGAGTTATGCTAATCACTTTGTACTCGTGTTGCTTGCTTTTCATCCATTTCCATTTAGCACCTATCACTGGCCACAGTGGGACTTCTGAGATTTACAGTTGCCTTTTGAAAGCTATCCTTTCATATGCTTGTAAAAATTATTCTAAAAATTGCTGTGAGGGCTACGGACCCAATTTTGTACAAGACCTTGACAAAAACATTATACAAAGCACATTATCAGAAGCTAAAAGCTAATGTTTGGGTCTGTTTCATGCTGGGTTTTACAAAGGATTTCCTTTCTAGCATCATTTTATTTTTCTTAATAGGATTAAGTATCAGTTCAGAAGCTGACTTCAGGCCCAGTAATGAAAATGCTACATAAACCTACTAACAGAAGTTTTAAGATTTAGTCAAAGTCTTGTTATATGAAAACCTTGAGAAGGGTGAAAGGTAGATTGTACTGAGTGTAAATACTTTGCTTCTGTGAATTTTTTCTAATGAAATGACTGTTTAACTACCATGGGAATGGCATGCCAGAAGAATAGAACTAATAGATACCAAGCATATGAACAACAGCAGAAATCTTAGTGTCAGCCATTGTCTTTTTATTTCTTCTCTTTTGTTTCAAAATGAGTAATCTTATTGTTTGAATAAAATATTCAACTATAAGCAATTGACGAACAACTGAACCATATTGGAGAAAGCAATTAACTAAGCAGATAAGGCTGTAATATCCCTGGGAAACATTTACTCAAGTAGCAAACATTTATTAAGCATCTTGGTCTTGAACTTAAGAGGCATGCAGTGAATACCTGGTGAAGGAAGGACAGGTTGTGACCTTCAGCATCATGAGACATTCAGAAAACCGTTTCATAGTTTAACCTGTACTAATATTACACTTGATCTTAGCAGAAAGGCTGAGAAGTGACTAGCCTGTACTAATATTAGCAACACTAAATGTGTCAATTAAAAATTCTATTTAAATCAAACTGAAATAATGTATGTTATATAAATTTGCTTTCTAGAGTTTCAAACTAGATTGATTGAATTTGATCAGTGAGAATTATATGGTCAAAGAGCTATTGTATAAGAAAATATAGTGGGAATTTCAGTTACTGGAAGCAAGTGCATTTAACATGTTGAATGGGCATTTAAATTTTAACTTTAATGGCCCTCCTCGGTCAACTTGACTACCTGTAGTTAAGATGCTATTGTGCTGTTTTTATGCTATCTGATTTATGAGAAAATATTTAATAAAATAAGGACTTGAGGACAGAGAAAAGAGAGGTTTAGTTTGGTGATTTCAAGAACTGGAAAGAGGAGGTGAGCTTCTCAGTCTTCTGCTTTCTTTCCCAGATGTCAGGGACCACACACTGGAGTTGTCTTGTAAAACTGAGCTTTCCCTTTCCTGTGATTAGAATTAGAAAATGTACGTATAACAATAGGTTATCTGCATTTAAACATAAACACGTATGTGGAAATACTGATGTTCGCTTGGAAAAACTGAAACATTTAAATGAGGAGATTTGAAATATCAAATTTATAAGGAAAAAGTTGGAGGTTACTACAAATAGTTGGGAACAAGTTGGAAAGTGAAGTAATAATGGCTTCGGTTTTTGTCAGTGGTTTGGTCTATAATTCCATTAAACAAAATATTTTTTTTTTCATGGTAGCATAAAGGAAAAACTTTTCTCTGGAGGGAGACCATATACTGATACACAACTTCAGAAATAGTTTAACACTTATCAGGAAAAAAAAATCCATGACACTACATTGAAATATCTTAAAAACATTTCCACAGGCTTCTTGCAGGACAATATTGACATATACTAAAATAGATACAATAACTGATTTGAATAATCTATGATTTATCTCACTAATATTAATTTCCAATAAAGTTAAGTGTTGAAGTGCTTTATCAATTACAATGAAAAATTTATTTGCGTGGGTGGAATATCACACTTTTCTGTGTTGATTAGTGGTTGTTTCTGTGCAACAGAAAATATGTATTGATTAACCTAATGACTGTAAGTCAGATAGGTATTCAGTGTAAATGCCATTTCACGTTACCTTGGGTTAACTTTTTATATTACATTTTTCTTAAAGCAATACACTTTACCATTTGTATACCCTTCATTTTATTATGTTATAAAAAGAAGAGATAAAAATATGTAGATATCCTAGAAGGTAGAAAATAAATACACTAATAAATGATTGATAGATAGATAGATAGATAGATAGATAGATAGATAGATAGATAGATGAATATAATAGGTATAAACTTGTTAACTGTCCCGAGCCGCGACGTCAGGATCCGGCCAGCAGGTCCTAAACCTGAAAGGACGAGGACTGAGAGACGGGAGGCACTTTTCTTCTCATGGTCCTTGCTTTATTATCGAACCTCTCCTTTTATACTCTCCAGCTGCAGCCCACACATTCCGGAAGGAAACCGTTAAACCGTTACATTTGCACTAGTAAACCGTTCAAGAGATCAGAACACCAGTAAACCGTTCAACAGATCAGACCACCAGTTGAACTAGCCCGTTGCTATGGGCGACGGCACGTCCACACTGCTCGGGTGAATCACAGGTCAATATGGCTGTGCTCATGTTGTGTTACTTTACAATGCTCTCCATAGTTAACAATACTTTGAAAATGGTGAATATTCTATTCTTTTCCTGATCTGTTATGGTATTCAAAATTAGCAGTCTCCATAGTTTTGTATTGGTATTACGCCACAGTGGGTCAGGGTAGAATAAAACTAATGAAATGAAGAAGAAATAAAAATAAAGCAATGAGCCCCAGCATCTTTCTATATGCGTCTACAATGTTTTCCCAACAAAATAGCATTTGAAAGTGAGGTTCATCCTCAATGGCTATGTCCTCAGTCAGAGCTAGTGAAGTGGCGTCCTTTTATGAAAAATAGTTGGCTAACTAGCACTGAGGATTTCACAGACTGGAAGTAAAAGTCAGGCAGTGTGGTGAGTGCTATATCATCAAGTAAACCTCAGGTAGTTTTGGAGATTACAAATAGATCTTCATAATTTTATCAACTTTTTTTTTTTTACATGTGAAGTAGAGATCAATATGAATTAAATTCATCATGCTTTCATTCAGAAAACAGAGAAGAAAAGTTATGTACTTAAAGTTTAATCGATTAGGATTCATTAATAACTAGCACATATACTTGAACTGAAATAATCCATGGCATGAAAATAAATTCTATATGAAGACTTACCTATAACTTTGATTGCCTGTCACTCTCAAAGATGCACACTTAGTTCAGTTTTGCCATATTCATTTCTGTTATGTGTCACTTAATGCACTTTCAAAGACAGATATACCAAGAGGGAGGTACTGTGACTTTAATGAAGAGTAAATGCCTCAGAATTAACCCGATTTCTCCATGCCACTCGAGAAGGGCGCTCAGAAAGAACAAGTTGTCATGATTTCCCTGTTGCACATCAGGTGCCTGGGTCAAAAGTGTGAGAAGGGGAATCATTCTCTTCTAACAAGTGTCTGTTGTCCTGGATACCAGGCAGTTACTGTTCATGTTCCCCACCCCACGTGAAGTTTGAACTATGCCACCTTTTCTCTTTCTGCCAGATAAATTGGATGATTGATTTGTATTAGAAGATAGTTTTCTAGTTTTATGTCTCAAACTTCCTGTGAGCATGTGAAAAATATTTAAGTCACGCATATACAAATGATATTCTCTCTAGGCTGAAGGAAACCTAAACTGTTAAAGGAAAGAACATATGGTACTGAAATCTTGCCTGAGAAATGAATGCTTCAAACCTAACATTTGTTTAATCCTAAAACAAATGTAATTTTACTTTTAAACCTTAGGAAATGTGTGGAAAGTCTGAGGATGAAAGAGAAACAGAGACAAGAGAGCAAAGAAACATAAACAAGGACTTCAGATTACTGTTTTTCTTCTAGACTCTCACCTTGACCTTGAGATAAAATTTAATATATTTAGATGGTGGATTATATTGTACCGTTTTTAAATCAGGATTTATGAAAATGATAGAAGCATCTGATGAAAATGACAAATCAAATTAGTATAATTTATCAATGTAAAATTAATGTAAATTAGTAAAATTTATCAAAATTTACCAGGTGTAGTGCAGACACTCAATGAATCTTTCTTGGATGAAAAAAATTAATAGCAGTTTATTCTGAAGGACACAGAAAGGTGATGGCATCAATACTACGTCCTCTGTGAGGAAAGTGTGGCCTGGGGAATTGTGTCTCATCCCACAGGTATCCTACTGCGGATAATTCGTGTTTTTTCCCCTGCATAATTATATTTACTATGCACTTCAGAGTCATTTTTACTGACCATAGATCCTTGCTGTTGCCAGGAGTGGATCTCCAATGCTCAATTCCTATCCCTCTCCACCTGCTGCCTACCTGGTGGGATTAATTCTTCTTCAATAAACTATAATATTGAGAATAGGAGCTGAAAATGGTCCCCATTGAGTGATTTTATGGATTGTGTGCTATTTTTAAACTTCCCCTGACATAGGCAACCTCTCATTTTCACACAAAATTAAACGAGATGTACTTGGAGTCATTTTTAATAGCTTTAAAAACTTCGCTCTTTGGCCCAAAAATGATTACATGAACACCTTCTATAATGGCAGGAGCTGAAGGAGTTCTGCTTTCATTAACACCTATTAATATCTAAATGCCAGCTCCAAATTATGTACCTTCCTCTGCCCTGTGTTCACCCGCAATTAACCTACAGACCACCAGTGCCAGCACTGAAGCTTGCCTGATCACACAAAAGGCATTTGATGCACATAGAAAGGACATCTGTGGCTTCAGTTTCTCAGGACAGGTGAAAACACAATTAGAGTTAGAGATAACCTTCAGAAAATGCTGAACAGGATTCTGCCACAGAGGAACAAAGCAAACCAAAGGATTTATTCCTTGTTCAGCTATGATCTGTCCT